GGGGGAGGAGTTACCCAAGCATAACCATTGATTGGGCTCCTTGATCCTGCAGCATTCAGAAGTAGTCAATGACATAGAAAAATGCGTGATCACCATAGAGCATGTTGGTTGCATAAAAGTTAAATCAGTGTAAGAAAAGAAGAAAATCGATTACCTTTTAGAGCAATTGCTGCATCTAGTGGTAGCTACAGTATTTTGAAGACTTTGTGAAAGTTTTATGTGTGCTAACTAATCTTTACATGAATTAGAATTGCGATTGACTCTGGAACCCAGGATCCCTTGAAAGCACTGTATTCCACATGCTGGAACAGAGGTGCTGAACAGCTCTGCAAGGAATGCTAACCACGGGTCTCTGGTAGACAGATGTCTAACAGTGATTATATGTTACAAGCCCAGTAACTTGGAATAATTAGAATAATTTTTTTAGAGCTTTATGTATTTAATGAGCATTCTGTTTTGCCTTTAGAATGCATGTATTAATTCACAGGTAAATATATGTTATGAAGTTTGATTTTTTTAAAAAACTTGTTCATATTTTCTTTGTCCCAGTGAACATTTATTTAAACAACCGGCACAGATTGTTAAAAATATGGAAGAGACATGCATATCAGGTACATATAGCTAAACATACTCCCTTCTTAGATAATTTTCTTCTTAATGTGATTTTAATTAGTTTTGTGTGTTTTAATCACTATTTTTTATCAGATGTTATGCATCATTAGATGACAGAGTACATTACGTATAATATCCTTTAACTGTTTGCATAGTTTTGGAATTTTATATTGTATACAATTTTACCAGGAAAATATTTATTCTACTTTTCTTCTAATATGTATTTTAGCTTTATTTTTTAAATTTATTATTTTAATCTTCAAACGAACATATCGCAGATAAATGTTTTAAGTTTAGTCTGAATGCAATCTGTGCTGAACAATGAAAGCCATTAACAGAAGATGCATAAGGATGCTGGTTTTGTTCTGCACTTGTAAGATCAGGGATAGAACCTACCTGTTAGAGTGACTTCTGCCTGAAGGTATTCCTACATGTTGAACATGTTTAAAATAAATGTATCTCGGATTTGCATTGATCCTAGTCTGATACATTTATTTCAGAATTGGGATCTGTTTGATCAAATCTTATTAATAATTTAGTTTCCTGGTAATTTATAAAATTTATAATTACTCATTAGATTAGTATTTGCCATAATGATCGCTTTGTAGGTAACCAAGCCGATCTCCAGGTTGTACATATTTAAATTGAGTATAAGTACTATTCCAGTACATCACATTTTTCTGCATCTGATTCCGAATAGAAATTAAGCTTATAGGGCTTAGTTAAGTGAGGTGAATTTACAGGGGTTATTTTTCTGTGTTCAGGTTGAAGCAGTATGCTTTGGGAGAGTGATGAAAAAGCACTGAATTAAATGTAATTATTCTGGATTTACAAAAGAGTAACTTCAATCCCTTTAATTTGAGGAATTTCGTTTGGGTTTTCTGCTGTTATGTAATTTAAACTTTAATAATCTACAAATAGAAAATACAGTTGAATATAGGTATGCTGGTGAATGATTACAAAGACAGGTTGCATTTTCTTAAGTATTTTTTTTTCCTTCCTAATTTAGATCAACATTCACTCTACTCAGAGATAACCAATGAAGAAAAAAGTAGTTCAGCTACACCTGCATCTCATAAAATGGCAAATTTAAGATGTTTAGGTAAATATTATCTTAGGTCTTTTTTCCTGAGGCCATAAAGAGTCAGCAATGCAGTGAGTGAACTGATTATTACAGAAATTTTAATGCATCTATTGGATTACATATTATGTAGTCTTAATTGCTTTCTTTCCTTTTTCTGCCCCTAAAATAAAGCATAACTATTGAAGTAAAGCTTACATGTTCCAGTCTATGTCTTAATGTGGGTTTACTAATAAACAGAATATATAACACCTTAAAAGATGACACACTACTTACAAGAATACTTAAGAGCATGTGTTTTTTCCCCTTTCTCTGATTGATTGGAAAGAGGGAGGAAAAACATGTAGCCCTGCTCAGTTCCCTCATGTATTCCACTGTTAAGCCTCCTAACTATTCTGCAGCCCTTTTGTTTTCTCTGCCTTTATTGCTATTAAGTACAGGCAGTCAGTTTTATAGTAATCCATGACTGCAGCCCTCAGTTACTCACCTCCTACTTCCTGAACATGGTCTATCAATAGCTTATTAGAATGTTGCTGGTACTGAGGATTTGTAAGTGGATTTAGTAATCAAGCCTGTTTTTTCTTTATTAAAAAACAAAACCACCAGAAAAAACCCAAACCCCAAAAGCCCCCCCTGCCCCCAACCTATCTTTGAACATCATTTAGTCCCATGAATCCAAGTTGTCAAACTAAATTCAAACTGAGATTTTGCACTGCTTTATTGTAGGCTAGAATATTGCAGGTATGTACTGGTGCCCTTCTTACCATTCCTCACAGTGCCAGAGTTCTCCTTCAGCTGACATAACTAACTGTGAGAACATCCGAGAATAACTAAACCGTAAATCACCCTAGGTGTGTCCTCAAAAATGAACAGGAAGGCTTTCTGTGAGGAAATTAATTCCTAAACTAGACTTATTTATTCAGATAACTCTTACGACACAGAGAAAGTTTGTAAGTGTAGCAAAGACATCTTTTATATTTTGGTTCTTAGGTAAATGTGCAAAGGGAACTGAGGCCCCTCTCTTCCTATCCCAGTAATATTTTTACTTCTGTAGAGGATCTGTGCCTCATCTAGTACTTCTGGAGATGAAGTGCAATATAACTTTGTCCCATAGGTCATGCTGAAAGCACTTTTTTTTCTTTGGAGAGCAAGTACAAAACAAGAGTAAGTATTTTCAAGAAGGTACATGAAAGTGTGTAACCTCTTTTGAGATATGTATATGGAAAACTGGAGGTCAAATTGTAGATCATAGGGAGCAAAATAATATGCTGGATTTTGTGATGGCTTCTGTGGCATTCATGCTTTCTGTTTCTAAAATATCCTGTTTTTTCTGCCAGGTTGTACAGCAGAAGGACTGTCCTTCAATAGTAGAACCTTTACCAAGATGTTGCAAAGTTGTCCGTACCAGTGTGAACATCACAAAGTCATTCTAGAAGCTGAAGAAAGATATAAAAATGAGCTTCGCAAATTGGCTGTTTGTAACAACAGCAGATACACAACTTATGAGAGTAATTATGATTTTTTTTTCAGTACTTGTAACTATTGTTTTAAATCGTATTTAAAATTCTGTTTGGTCTGATTCTGATTGTCCTGCTTTTGTAAACTCACTTATTCAATTTGATTTACCAATGATTTGTACTAAGTGAGATCTGAACTACCTACTTCTGTTTTGAGGATCTTGTGTATTTCTTGGCAGTAGTGATACATCCTTGTTACAGGCTTTGATGAGACTGTCCTGTTTGCCAGTTAGTCAAGTACTAATAGAAAGGAGTATATTAAGCTGAAATAAGGGTGAACGAATGGATGACATCATAACAAGTAATTTCATTCTAATATCACATACTTATGGATGTAAGGAGCTTTTAATTTTTAATGAATTAAATAAAAGTGCATCCTATATTTTTCTGGTTTAAAGGAGGCGTTTTGACAATTAAACGGTTATTACTTACTGGCATTTGCACTGGTGTCCGTCTTATATTTTCCAGAAATACTGCTGACCCCAGTGAAGAAAGAAAGACCGCATACAGAAATATCAACTTGCAGGAACAAAATGTATAGTTTCCAAAGTAAGGACTTGTTTGGAAATTAATGTAAAAAACCCTTACTGTCTAAGTAATTCTTCTGCAGGACTTTGCCATGGGAGACTGTGGAGAGGGAATTAGGAGGGGTTTTTTTTGTGGATTCTGTGAAAAGTTTGTATGTTAATAGGCCAGAAAATGCATATTCCATAATAATGAAATTGTGTTATGCACATTAATTCACAATGAAGTTATTTGGCACTTGCTTGATAGATACCGCTTTGAACCCTGTCAGGGTTACTTCCATGCCATCTGCTATTTTTCAGTTTTGTGGCATTCATTTTTAAAATGTAGAGCTATAGTCAGGATCAGAACACAGTAGAGTTGCCTGTACCTGGATTCAGCACCATATATTGTACAGTTATAGTCATGTTATCCTATGATACCTGTTTCTGTTCCTGCCTGGAGCTCTGCTAAGGACTTGGGTCTCTTTGTGCTAAATAGCTAAACTTATGCAACAAAACTGGAGCAAGTAACTGAAAACAGTGTATCAGAAAATTAAGCACAGGAGATGTGTTTAATTGTCCTGTATCATGAGGTGTTGAATAGGATGTTACTAACAAGGTAGAGTTGGAAAAGTGTATATAAGTTCCATCAGTTTCTGCAGTGCAGTTTAGGAGCCCTGTGTTTACAGAACCATCAGCTGCCCATCAAAACTGGTATTCTTTACAGCACACAACCTTTGTAAATAGAAACATGCTTTCCATTTGTAAATAGCAGAGTACATATCTTTTACAGTATTTTATTCTGTAATATAGCAAAAGAGTGGTTATAATTTTTTCCTTATACTGCAAGATATATGTTTTTACATAACTCAGAATTTTCTTCAGAATGTGGTGTTTGTGGGTACATCCTGCAGAACTCCAACTACAGTCATACAGTCATCAACTAGGAACCAATACTGCTTTTTATGATTGACTAGAAATTTTAAAGTAGGCTGAAGCAGCTCTCTAAATCAGTACTTAAATTCTAAAACAGTAATTTTGAGTAATTTTATCTCAAGAAACCATTATGTTAATGTATTATCTTTTAACAAGTAAAAATTTTCTGAAGTAAACTGAATTTTCCAGTCTTTTTTCCAAGATCAGATAGTAGTATGGCTCTCTTAAAATGTAATTCCTAACACATTACCTGTGTTTTGTGTTTCTTTTTAAGAAGGATGCATAATGTTTTACTGTTTTGTTTTTTTTTTTAAAGATATTCTTTTGACTCCAGTTAGAAAAAACATATCTAATACTTCAAATAGAGATGAATGTAGTAAAAATACTAGGTTGACTGACAACTATAACTTGGTACCTACATATGAAAAGTGTGAGTATTACCAGAAAGTTAATTCTATAATAAGTGTAACTTAAAGATCAAGTTTTGCGTATAGGCCAGGGCATTGAGAAAAGCACCTGTGCTTGCTATTGGAGACAGATGGCTAAGAATTTAAATAGGTGTGGTTTTTTACCTTCATTTGTAGTATTATTGATGTTTGAGTTAATCCCTATTATTTGCTTGTTGCTTCCAATGCATAAGTAATCCTCATGCGTTAGTCAATGATGAGAAAAAGATCTAATGAAAATGAGATATCAGTAATAAAGCAACATATACATATTCAAGTTAATCAGAAGAAATGCTTCTTTACAACACTCTATTCAGTTTTATAGTAGATTTCAATTAAAGTAACGAAGAGGTGGCCTTGTTCACAATCTCTTAGCTTTCAGAAAAACCCAAGATGCTAACTCGAAGAGACGAAGACTCAAAGAAATGTGCAAACAGGAATGTCAGCACTTAAAAGAAAATTGCATATATTCCCTTGGCAAGGATGAGGTTAGTTATGCAAAGCCTGATCATAGACTCACATATGTATAAATACGTGCAAACTAAGTCACTATAAATTGCATAATTTATTTTTAAGTCACCTTTAACAGGAGACCAGTAGCAAAGTGAAACTTGTAAAAAGGATACTCCTCTGTTGATTCTACTCCAGTGGTACTGATGTATCCCTGAATGAGTTAAGCATTTTTCAGGTGACAGTCCTGTCTGAGTAACGAATATGGAGGTATGCTTTCTCCTGCACTGATGAAAAATTGCATAGTAGAGAAATATCAGAAACCTAGAGGATTAAACATACTAATGGTGTAAACTCTGTAGGCACGATAGAAATGAAAGTAAATGTCATGGAAAAATACTGTATTTCAGTAAGTGAGTGACAGTGAAGAAACCTTGAAGAACCACTGTTGTCTTGACAAAGTGATAATTTCTTTAGAACTACTTAAGATTGTATTGTCAGTAATAATGTGTTGCTTCCAAAGGCAAAATAGTATGTACACTTACATAGTTTTTAATTGCACCAAAATAAATATTTGCAGAACAAAGAAATATGTTCCCTGGACATGGACAGAAGAACTTTAAACAAAAGAAGAACCCGAAAAAATTTCACGACTGAAGAAGTTAACTGTCTTTTGAATGGAGTAAAAGAAATGGGTAATCACTGGAATTCAATTCTGTGGTTTTACCCATTTCAGAAAGGAAGGACGAGTGTTGATCTTTCCAAGAAATACTACAGGTTACAGTTGCAAGTAATCACAATTTAATTTCTACTGATCATATATGCTGTCAGCTCAGTTTTCAGCTTTTGCCCCTGAACTGACTTGCAAAGAAAAGGACAGGCTATCAGAATTTGCATCCCACGGGATTGTGCTTTGTGTCCATTCAGTGCTATGCACACTAAGCATTAGAATGGTCTCTGATGTAACTCAGTCAGGGCTTGTTCTTGGAGAGTGAGACCTAAACTGGGGAAATATTAGAGAGCCTTTGAACCTTCCAGTGCCACCTGATGGGAAACAGAGAGCGTAAGAATTTCAGTTCAGGACTCTAATCCATGTGTTTATTAGGAAGTCAATGCTTTCTCTGTTCAGTCTGTGATGAAAATCTCTGTGGCAGTTTTCATCATGTTTAATATGTACATTCCTTACACAGAGATGCTCTATGGATGGAGTAGATAACTTTTCTGTTGTGCTTTGGGGATGTGTGGGAGTGTTAATGGCATTTTTCTGCTGAAACATTTTCTAAAATTGTGCAGTTTTGTGTCAACATTTGTCTTGATATGTTCTCTTTTATCTCCATTTTGTAGAGGCAAGAAAAAAACAAAGATCATCAATAATATCTTTCAAGAGTGTTTTGGGTTTTGTTGCAGAATGTTGAAGAACAGCACTTCTAACAGTGAGGTATTGTCACAACCATTCAAGCCCTTGGAGAATTTAGATTGGCTTGGACTCATGTTTTTCAGTGATAACATTCACTGACAGAGTTCTTATGACTGCAAATTGAAATTGCATATAATTTGATAAGTTGTTTTTTTTTTTTAAATAATGCTAGCATAGCTAACAAAATCTTTATCAGTAAAATTTATGTTTTTTTTTTAACTTAGTTAAACCTTCTTGGAACATTTGATGTATGTAACGTTTGATTTGGGCTTTTGTTTGAATCCTTTTATAGTTTGCTTCACACCATTTGTAAGAAAAGGCTGTATTGCTAAAGTGAACCTATGTCAGAAACTGGTGTTATGTTGTGTCTGTGTGTAAGTTTCTTTCCGAGTGAAATGTTTAAAGCAGGTGAAATATTTTGTCATGTGTTTAATGTGCAGAAAAATATATCTGACAGAAAATACCGAATGTATGGTTAAGCACTGCTACATGTAGGCAAATCTTAGGTTGGTACAGTAAGTAAATTGAGATGGAAAGCTGGTGGAAGTGTCAGAACCTCTGGGTAGAAGATTTAGTGTGTGGTTCAGCTGCAGTATTTCTTGACTGATCTTAATGACTGGGATAACCTACATAAAATACTTCCGCATTGAACAAAGTAGAATGCAGGTACTGATAAAATTTGGCTTCTGTTTATGGTTGGACATTTTTTTGTGTATTATTCAAGTAAGTGAGCAGAACAACTTCTGCGAAATACACAATTTCTTTAAAAAGCTTTAGTAACTTGATTTTTCAATGGTAACAGTATTTCATTTGTATTTTCTATCTATTCTGATAAAGAACGTTTATTTCATAATTAACTACATTTTTTCCATAGTAAGTTATCTTATTAGCACTAGGTCTTCACTGTGATGTAGCTTAAATGCTTAAAAATAAGCAGGATGACCGAAATGGAAAGATTTGCAGTAAAGATGATACCAATGTTAAATAGGTCTTCTAATATTTTCAGCTGTTGCACTTTGGTTTTTATTTTATGAAAATATTTAAGCATCTACAAAACATGTATTTGAACAGAGCTATCTGAAGCAGCATAGTTAAATACTGGCACATGTATTTGCAGAATATGGGCCCCGAGGATGTCTGGGGAGGGGTGTGTACACACAACGGGGAGGTTTTGGTCTGTTACACACTCTACCAAGTATTTTTCCAAGGCCTCTATAGCTAGTCTAGACAAGTGCTATTTCATCTGTTGACTGAATGTGTATTGGTAATCTGTATTATTCTGGCATAAATACCTTTCAGGTGGAGAAAATCAGCAAGGTGTAAATCTTTACTTGACACAAAGTCAGAATATCACAATACTGACGATTTGCCTAATCTTAGGTATAATGTAGGTTAGAAGGGACCGCTGGAGTCTGTGATTAACCTCCTTCTCAGAGCAGGGCTCATCTCCAAGTTAGTCAGGTTGCTTAGTGCCTGTCAACTGCTGAAAAGCTTCAGGGATGAAATTCTGCAGCTTCTTCTGGTGCTTCAGCTACTGTTGTAATGCAAGTTGCTGAGAAAGATGTCATGAAACATTCCTGTATAATCCAAAAAGGAAGAAGAGGCATGGACAAGCAGAAGCTTGTGTGAATTGAGACAAGTCAACCTTTTTCTCTCCTTTTATTGTATAACCTTGATAATCTTATTCATTTTCTTGATTAAAATGTTTTGAAATCCACACATAATGGGCACAATAAACATATAATTGCATAGGAATGTCATTTTTAGGCTGCTTGAGCTACTCAGCACGCTATTTTAGCACTTTGACTCACAAATCACGGAGGAAAGCAGGTTTACGAAAAAACTTACAACTTGCTTTGTAGTTCTAGAAGAAGAACAAAAATTATTGGCGAGGTGTAAGAATGGGGGGGGGAAGAGGAGCTCGCTCTGGTATGAAATGGGATGGAGCGGGCCCTTTCCTCTGAACACACTGATTAGTTCAGCTTCCGCGCCGCGCCGGGGCCCGGGGGGGAGGCAGCATCCCGGCGGCGGAGGCGGGCAGCTGCTCTGGGGCGTCCCGCGTCTGTCACGGCGGGGTCTCCCTGCTCTGCCGAGCCACCTCA